GACGCTACTCGCGAGTAGCGTTTTGCCCAGCTATGATGTACATACATACATAAGTACGTACAAATGCAGCATGAGCGGCAGTAACAACTATCACCTAGGTTTGTCACAATAAAGTCGCAAGTCAATAAAATTGGTACTGATTTATATCTGCATATCGAACAAATGCTAAACATGAGAATGTTCATCAGTCAGTGGTAACAACAACAACAACAGCGTGCCCGCGTAAACGCGCTTAACATGCTAATCGGCAATAAGCAGCAGCCGAAGGTTGGATCCCAGAAGCTAATTTAGGTAGGCCACCTTAAGTGAAGCCATTCAAAAAAGGCATACCCAAGAAGGACCTAAAAAGTGCATCCGTGCATGCCAAGCTAGAAGGGCTTTTCCCATTCACAATTTTCGCGAATGCATAAGTTTTTTATTTAGCATACATATGTATGAATTTCAAGATATGTACATACATACATACACTTCAATTTGCAATAAAACATATTTAATATAAACCTTAAGCAAATACTTTAGAGATACATATATGATTTTTATGAATTAAAGAGGCAACTTCAAATGAACTCCTCCAAGGTCAGAAGGCCCTCAATTTGTGCCCCTCCTTACAAAAAAAAAGAGAGGGGAAAGGAATGTACAAGGCCTCTTGACTTTCAGGAAGGGATTTGGACTCCTGAAACTCTCTACTAGGATGTTTTGCATATCAAATATGTGATAACGGTGCCTGTGAAAAACGCTTTTACCAACAAAACATGTAGTAAAAAATTGTCCCTGAAAACCCCGCCTCGTGGTATTGTTATTATTAAAGTATAAAAATTGATAGAATTTACACAGAAAATTTGAATTTTCCAAAAGTGACGGGGGGACAACGATGACAACTGCCTCTCTGAGTTGATGGGTTCGTTTCCCAATTTTAGACAAACTATAAATACATATTTCGTTCGTAGCGCTTTTTTCGTATGAAGCTAATAGAAAGCTAAGGTCCATTTTATGCTTTGAAGGCATTTTTATATTTGACAATAAAAAACAAAAAACTATTAGATTGTGACCGGTGGGACGAGTCACGATTGAGGACTCATATATATATAGTTTGCGAGTAAAATAAAATCTACTAGTTTGATATAATTTTAATGAAACCAATTTTGGTCCAATAAGCAATTCCGTTAAAGCTGCTAATTTCCCAGCATGAATGTATTTTTGTAATAACTCAGCACTGTTTTAAAATCCATAAGTTGGAATTTCCTTTTGGATAATTATATTTTGCAATATCTTCTCAATATGCGAGAAATGCCTTGACAACTCGATGAGAAAATACTATATTTGAGCTAATCGAACTACGGCTGCCTTAATAACAGTAAAAATCGAGAAAATAGTGAAAAATAAATCGATAAAAATCATGTATAACGAATTTTTCGGCTTTACTGTTTTCACAGATTTAAACGCAATCTTATAATTTATTTGTTGACCTGTGGTGTCTTCTTCGTTGAAATTACCCAAATGTTTTTTCAAAAAATTTCGCCAATCTTTCATCCCTAGTGCAGATATTTATGTATGTATGTAAATATATGGATCCTTCTTTTAGTGATTCTAAAAATACTCTCCTTGCTTTGGTTATTTTTTGTGGCAAAATACATCTCAAAAAGGGCAATTGCTTTGCAACTGTCAGCACTGTTTACAGTTGGTTATATTTAGCACCTCTCTTACATGGATACATATGTACATCTATACACATGTACATATGTATGTATGAATGGACATATTTTCATGTGCAGGTATTGTCAGCATTTTCCCGAAAGATCACTGCAAAAATGGGATTTCGCCGGGTTGATTACGAGAAGATGCCACTTACATATACATACATACATGTACATACATATGTGTGCGATCTCCACCTGGCGAAGGGCGATAAATATTTTAGATATTTTTTAATAAACTCTGGCGATTAGCAAAACATTAGAAAACAGTCTTCCCACATTGCACATTGCAGACCGGGGTTTCATAGGCGAGAGCGGGAAGAACTGGCTAACAAAAAAATTGTGGTCCAAATTAATTAAAAAAAATAAGAATCCTTTTTGGTTGTTGTTGTTTCCGACAGTTTTCGGAGAACGAAAAACGACACTGAAGATGGCACAACGCCGAAACCGGTTTTGTCCCCAAACCAAGTTTGACAAGGGATGACGGAAATTCGTTCCAAAATACACAAAAACACAAAAAATATTTTTATTTGATTTCATTTTTTTTTCAGTTCTTCTTTCCACCGTTTCGGGTTTTTCGTCATCTGAATACGAATTTTAAAGTTATAAAGTCGTTTGAACTCATTTACTTGCAATTTCGGTTTGTATTTTTATGGAAACTCCCATATTTATGTGCTTTAGGGTAGCTTGTTTTGAGGTGAAAACAAATGTCCTAATTTTATTTACCGTTTGTCGCTGGTTGGTGGACTGAATTACACTTTTAGGTAAAAATTAAATATTGTGAGGTTAAAATTAGGGATCTAGGGATCTGCTTAGTTAGTTGCCGTACTAAATTTATTATAATTTAATATTAAAACTTTTAATAACTACACACAATACATATATATAAACATAAAATACATAGGTATGTGTGTATATGAATTCATTTGTAAACTTACTTTTCCATTTCCTTCACATCGACGCCATTCCTTACTTTCGTTGCATCTGTGGTGTGTGGCAGATCAGCAGCGCTTTGACTAGGCGACGCAGCTGTGACATAGCCGCGTCGAGGCGGCACTAAGGGTGGAGGGGCATGTGTCGACGGCGCAGTGGTTGTGTGTGGCGGCATAAACCCAAGGCNACTGATAAACTCCACGTCGTTGGTGTTGTCGTCCCCCTTGCCACTGCCGCCAGCTATCGTTACGGCGCCGGGACCAGACATACCTGTCGGCGATTCATATGTGTTGCTATGCACATTGTAGACATGGTATTTCCACTCCGAATTGCCTCGATGGTTGTGGAGACGACGCTGCACTGCGTTGTTGTTGTTGTTGTTGTAATAATCCCGCGCGCTCAAACGGCGGAGTCGCGTCGCCTTTTGCAGCAATGCTGGTGAAGCGATCAGGCTGCTTCTAGTTCTGTTATATATCGATTCAACAGCCGAGGTAGTATCAGACTTGGTGAATGTGCCAAGACGACGCTGTCGACGTTGTAGTTGTGGCATTTGCTGCAGTCTTTGTTGTTGTTGTTCGGTCACTATTTGTACCTTGTGGTGGTGGCCATGATGATGTGCGGGCTGTTTGTGAATGCTCTGCATTGTCGCTAAATGCGTCTGGTGGGTGGCTAGCGGGTTCTTCTGTTCTATACTCACTTTTGCATGAGTATTTATAATGCAGGAAATAAGGAGTACCGCTGCTATGACTGCCCAATCCAG